GAAGACCGTTGCCAAACCTAAAGAAATGCAATTAAAATATGGACCCAGTTTATGAAATCAAAATATTGTTTTTCTAGCTGCAGTGTGTTATTAAACACAAACGCTTAACATCTCACTGCTGATAAAACCCGTATTGCCTATCAGGCACGACAGGGATGTCAATAAATAAATAAGTTCATGAGTTTCTTCAGTCTCATTTCTAGCCTGGCAGATAGCCCTCCATACAACAATCAGCGGTAGTCGAAGTGGGAGAATATAAGGGAGGTTACAAGAATCTGTCTGGCTTTTAGAGGCTTTTGTTTAAGAACAGTTATGGATTTTCGGGTAATCTGGGAGATATGGTTATTCCAGGAGAGGTTCTGGTCAAATGTTTCTCCTCGGTTTTTGACTGTAGGGAAAAACTGAATGGGACGGATATTGAGTTTAAGTAGAGGAAAGTAAGGAAGGGGGCTAATGAGATAACTGGACCCGATAAGAACTAGTTTAATTAGAATTAGTTTTATCTGCATTCAGGTTTAATTCATTTATTTCTGTCCATCTGTCAATGCAGTCAACATCTACAAGAGCTTTTTCGGGCAGCCTCTGGCATCTCAGAAGGTTGGAATGATTGGTAAATTTATAAAATTGGCAAATTATGCACCTTCCTAAAATAATACTTTTTTGTTACCTGTTCGAGGATATTTATATTTTTAATTATTTTGAGCAGATATAACATTTTATTTTCCATATTTAGTCTATAAATAAAATTCATATTTGAAATTTAGAAAAATGATTTCATTTTGTTAAAGTATATTAAAGAAATTGGAATAATTATGGAAAGTATATATATATATATATATGACGGAATCTTTGAGAATGTAATTTGGAGAAGAAGAAAGAATGAGTAGCTGCGGGAACTCTATGGTGAACCTGATATTGTAGCATTGATAAAAAGAGCCAGAATCAGATGGTTATATCATGTGGAAAGAATGCCAGACCAAAGAATGCCAAAGAAGACCCAGCATGAGAAGCTGGTTGGCAAAAGAAGTAGAAGGCGCCCTCGGATCAGATGGCTGGAGGATGTTGAGGACGATCTGAGGCGGCTGGACGTTCGAAGATGGAGGGAAGTAGCCCATGACCATGGAGATTGGTTGGCTGTAGTAGAGGAGGTCCGGGTTGTAGCAGGACCGTAGCGACAGTATAATAATAATAATATGTATGCATATATATATATATATATATATATATATATATATGAAATATACAGTAAGGGAAAGTATTGAGATCCTGAAAAATTTTTAATCTGAATTTTCAACGGAAATACAAGTTTTGAGGGTAGCAGTTGCGAAATGGTCTATGCGTGTGCGTGGATGAGTGCGAACCACTTACCTCAAAAACGAAATTACGTATTTAATGTATATATACGCCTAGAATGTGACAGTGAACTTTTCGTCAAAATCGGTTAACCAGATGCGGCACGCTATATTATCGAAGTTACACATACCTTTACCATTTTGAAATTGGTAAAAGGGTCTAATTTTTTTTTTATTCCATTGCATTTTCTTTTTAATTCATTACTTCTAACTATTATCATTATTTTTTTTTAATTTGAAATAATCAAAATATGCATTTAAGCGTATTTATCATAAAATATGCGCTACAAAATTTGACTAATTACATCTAGGTTAGATTCATATAGATATTTGATATCTAGCTTTAAAACTGCATGTAAACAAAATATGCAATTGCATATAAAGGGAGTTGCTTATCAATTTTCGTTTGACTACTAAAAATCATTAGCCGAATCATAAAATAATTTAACTTATTGATTTATTTCGTGATCATCCTGTGTTGTCAGACTGGCCTACCTCTGAATATTGAAATCATAATAAGAGTCTAGGGGCTTTAAACAAAATTGCTTTATCATTTGTTGTTAACAAAGGGGTCAATCCATTTAAAATCACCCAATTGGAATTAATTTTGTTGCTTTATTTATTTTTTTTTTACTTGTTTCCTATTTAATGGAGAGTACAAAAAATTGTTAGGCTAAAATTTTTTCTTGCCAACCATTTTTAATTTATTTTTCCACTGAAAACATGTTTTGGGGAAATATCTCTAACAAAGGTAAATGTAGATTTCAAACTAAAATAAAAATAACATAATAATGATGAAAATTATTTTTACATTTTTCTTCTTTCAAAAGAACACCTAAAAAGGAATAAAAGTGATTTTAAAAAATCATGAAAATTAATATAAAATGAGGCTTTAAGCGATGTAAAAGTGTTAATATGGAAAAAAGTTCACCTTTGGTTTTTACATCTACTGTAGCTCTATCACTGTACTTCCCTTCCTTTCATCCCTTTGTATTCATTCCTTCTTACATGGTGAAAAATTTCAATCCTAAAAATTGTATTTTTTTAAAATATGAATTATAAAAATGGCCTAAATTGGTTTTAAAGTTTCATATCACAAAAGAGACTGATTGAAAAGTTGTGAAACTGATACTGTTTGTACCTCATTATGATAGGAATGTATGGCATGAATTTGCTGACTGAGACTCAATTGGTTCTATTGGTCATAATGCCACAATCTTTTCAGCATTAAGAGCTACTATTTGTAAGCGTTGTAAGCGCCTCAACAGTGAACTGTTACATAATCTACTGCATTGTGATTGAGCAACAAAAGGATTGATGGGAATAAAAGATAATATGCAAAATGTACCTCTTACACCTGAATGTTTAAATAGAGTGGCAGGGTCATTATGTTAGGAGGCACATTTATCTTTTATTCACATAATTTCTTGTTTCCTTTTTTCTTACTTTCAGTTCCTCTCCACATTTTTTCCATATCACTATTTAACTTATAAGAATCATTGTGTATAAAATATGTGTTTCTGTTATCATATCATATATCATTACATCTTATTATTTTCTACGTACTCTTTTATGAAATTCTACTACGTAATGTTTCATTCTAAACTTACAGTGATAAGTGAAAAGTATTTGCACATAATATTTTTATGAATAAATGAGTTCAAGGAACCAAAAAACTTAGCTTTCCTCTGCAAAAATGAAAAATACATTTGTTAAAAACTGAGAAAAACCTTTTGGAAAAAAGTGACAACACTCCATGATGAAACAAAAAAATTAAAACAATAAAAATGCTTGGAAAAAAGTATTTGCATACTATGACTCACAAGCTCTGTTTACTTTGGCATTAATCCTCCTGTATGCATAGGTCATAGGTTTGTTTACTAATTTATCTCTAATTGTTTATTACCAGTATTCTCTAGTCTTTCAATCAGTTTTCTTTAGTCAATAGACAATTATCATGCCAAAGACAAGTGAACTGTGTACCACAACTCGCGAAAAAATTGTTTTATTGAGGAGTCAGCAAAAAACATATCGCCAAATTGCCGATTTCTTAGGGTTGAATTTTTGTACAGTGAGATACGTCATAAAAAGGTATGAAGAACGTGGTTCAACTGAAAACAGTGAGCGTAAAGGGCGTCCAAAAAAGTTAACTCCCAGGCTGAAGAGGAAAATCAGAAAAGAAGCTCTTAAAAATCCTCTGATAAGTTCTCGGGAGCTGGCTACCATGGGCCAATCAACGTCTAGAGTTCAGATTACTAGCAGAACAATTAGATATGCTCTGAATTCGAAAGGGCTCCATGCTAAAGTTCCAAGAAAGAAACCCTACATCAGTAAAACGAATCGCAAAAAGTGCCTTGTTTTTGCTAGGGAGTAGGTACAGAAACACTTAAGCTTTTGGGAAAATGTCATCTTTCCTGACGAAAGCAAATTTAATTTGTTTGGTTCAGATGGTCGAAGGAAGATATGGCGACATCATAATGAAGCCCTAAAAAAGCAAAATGTTTTAACAACTGTAAATCATGGTGGAGAACATGTTATGGTTTGGGGGTGTGTTTCCTACCATGGCGTGGGAAATCTTGTGAGCAACGAAGGCATTTTAAATGCAGAAGGCTATGTGAACATTTTGCGACGTAATTTGCGTGTTAATGCCGAAAAAATGGGAATCCAGGATCAGTACTATTTCCAGCAGGACAACGATCCAAAACATACTGCGAGGATATTTAATGTTCCAAGACAGCTCCACACTCCTCAGTCACCAGATATAAATATCATTGAAAATTTATGGCACACCCTTAACCAAAATGTAAGAAAACACCATATCACTAGTGGACATCACCTTAAACAACTTCTTGTTCAAGAATGGGAACAAATAAACGTAGATTTAATTAAAAACCTAGTGCATTCAATGGCCAGACGTCTACAAGCAATTATTGACGCAAATGGCCTATTTACAAAATATTAAAACTATTAAAATTTAAAATAAACTTGTAAATGTGGAAAGGTGCAAATATTTTTTTCCAAGCACTTTTATTGTTTTAATTATTTTGTTTGATTATGAAGTGTTTTTATTTTTTTGTAAAAAGTTTTTTTCAGTTTTTAATAAAATTACTTTTCATTTTTGAAAAGGAAAGCGAAGTTTTTTGTTTCCTTGAACTACTTTATTCATAAAAACGTGTTGTGCAAATACTTTTTTCCATCACTGCATTACTTTATGTTTATTTTATACTTATCATCATTTTATGTTCATTTCATTTCAAATAAAGATATTATGGCTTCATCTAACAACAATTACCGTATCTTATTTATTCTTGTTCTATTCTATTTCTTCATAATTTTGTTTTTTACTTCATTAACGTATCACTATTACTTTGTCATATTTTACTTCATTCAATTTTTAGAATTTATTTATTAGCATATAAAGTATATTTTATTCTCATATCTTGATCATATATTTTATTCTTACAATAGTTGTTTAATAATTTTTGGTGGTTATTTTGTCTTTTCCTAGCCTTGTGGCCTTGTGCACTGGCTGTAACCTTTGTCACATAATAAACTAACTCCCCAACTTGAATTGTTTACAAACTTATCAAGGTACTAAAGTTCAATTTTAAAAATAAATTTTATGTACAGTAATGTTATCTATTTTAGTCTACGGCAGAAGAAATTGATATTGCCTTGAATGCAGCCATCGATGCTGGTTATAGACACATTGATACAGCATATGTCTACGAAAATGAATCAGCTATAGGAACAACACTGAAGAAATTGTTTGATAGTAGAAAAATTACTCGAGAAGAATTATTCATTGTTACAAAGGTAAAATTGTATTTTTAACATGTACTTGTTTGTATGTTTCATTTATACTTTAAGTTAAACTGTTTATTTACAACTTTCTAATGAGAAATACTATTTATCTTAAAGTTACCGATTATGGGTAATAGATCTGAAGATGTTGAACCATTTCTGAAGAAATCTCTTGAAGCCTTGCAGCTTGATTATGTAGATCTATATTTGATTCACTGCCCAGCTGGTGTTATGAATAAAGGCTTCAATCAACTGTTTCCTACAAATGAGAAAGGAGAGTTATTGCTGGACAAAAATACCAATCTTTTAGAGCTATGGAAAGTATGTTAAAATATTTTTAAAAATTACATTGCAGGAATGTTAATTTTAATTATTATATATAGATGACTTTTTTTTTATTTTGATATTTGTTATATAGTTTAGATAACACATAACACTATAAACTTAAAAAAAATAGTTATTATTAGTAATTATTAATTTAATAATATTACTTTACTATATTTTAATTCATATGATAATTTTTATTCTACACTAAATATTAGATACTTCGTTTAATTTCATGAATAAAATAATCTTTAAATTAAATTAAAGGTTATATTAGTCTTTTAAAACTTCAAGTCGTTAAGTTAATAAATTAATTAACTTAAGATAATAAAAATAAATTAACTTACTTACTTATTTCCGGTGTTCCAATGTGGGATACCTCTTCAGGTCAGGGCAGAGCTCCACCCATCTCTATCCTCCCAGGCACCCTCCTGTAGACCATCTCTTCTCGGACTCCTTCCATCCACATGGTTCTCGGTCATCCTCGCCTACGCTTTCCGGATGGCTGCCATTCCAGGACTCTGTTCGGTCAATGCTCTTCCCGCATTCTCATTCAGTGGCCATACCACCTCTCTCCACTTCTTTCGGCACCTGAGATTTTTTGTTGGCGAAGCTCTGAATATTCCAAGTACCCAAATGAAAAGTCCGTTTCCGTTTCCCAAGTCTGCTTCTGTTATGACTATCTAAATCCGAGGCTCTTTTCTGGCTACTTGTAGTGGGATGAGTTTTACGTCAATGAGCTGCTGACCCAAATGACAACCCCCAACCTGGAGGACCAGAGCTTTTCTGTAGGGGTCTCTTTCCCTTAGATAAGTTGCCTGCCACAGCTAACGTGCCTTATCCGTCCGGGTTTTTATTCGGAGTTGTCCCTCTCCTAGGTTTCCCCGCTGTAAGGGGGGAGTGGTTGTGCATATTTAGAGGCGGCACACACTCACCTCGTTACAGTCGCAGTCTTAGGGCTCTCTGGAGTATTTTTGAGGATAGCCGCACCACTGACCACCCTCCCCCACACTGTTGGCGCCTGCCGCTTATGGTCCGGGAGTGCAAGTCCACTATCCGCCACCTGTGGTCCCGCCTGGTCCTCTGAGCTCGGGGTCCCCCACATAAGGAGGACAGGACAATAAATTAAGATAATAAAATATTATTTTAGACTTTATTTCCTCTTAACGTCAACATTCCTATGAACCTTCAACATTATTATGAAATTTGATTCTTATTGCATTAAGTGACATTTTCATATACAAGCCCCCAGGTTCTGGAGCTGTTCCGCTTTTAGCTCTGCCTATAGCAGCTCTCACTTCTTCTTCCTTTACTTGCATATGGTCCGTCTTGCAGTCTTCCTGTGCATTGCCCTCTTTTGCCATAAACTTTGCTCTACTTTCGTTAAGGAGGGTCTCATAATGCTTTTTCCATGTGTCCTCACTGATAGAAGAAATAACATTGCCCTTACATGGTGACCTCAAGCTCCTCAAAATATTCCAAGCTTCTCTCACTCGATTGAAGCCCAGTGTCCCATCTTTCTTCTGGAAGCATCTCTCCCAGGAGTTATTCTTCTCTTTTACAACTTCCTCCTTTACATGTTTGTTCAGAGCTCTGTAGGCAATCCAGTCCTGGTCCCTGTTTGATGCTAGGTACTTCCTATGTGCTTCTTTTTTGGCCTACAAGTATTGTAATAAATTAATTATGAAAATATTAGTTTTTATTTACAAATATAACATGTAAAAAAAGTAGTTCTTTTGCAATAATTTATCATGTAGGTTAATAATGAACCATTATGCTTTACACAATTGAATTTATCTTCATTTTGTTTTATCTTTATGAAAGTAGAAATTTTTTTAACATAATAATCTTGTAGTTATGATTAGTATTTTTCTACTAAAAAATTCTTTAAAAAACATTTCCTTATAATTTGCTCAAATAATGATCACTTAAAAACAACCATTACTTTTTAATATTTGATAAATTAACAATATACTTTCAATTCGTTTCGTTCGATACTAGGTTTAATATTATGAGTATAAAAAATAATTAAATTAAATTGAAAATTATAATTATCTTGTCAATAGGATTGATTAATGAACCAAAAATCACTTTTTAGGGTATGGAAAAACAAGTTGATGCAGGGCGTACTAAAAGTATCGGTATATCCAACTTTAACCAAACCCAAGTTAAAAGAATTCTTGACAGCTGTCGTATTCCTCCAGCAAACCTTCAGGTGGAATTACATATCTATCTTCAGCAGAAAGAGTTGGTGTCTTTCTGCAAAGAACATGATGTTACAGTATGTGCTTATGGTCCAATTGGCTCACCTGGACAAAAGGCATTTTTAGAGAAAAGAGGACTTCCTACCGAGGGGTGAGAAATTATTATTATTGTAGATTAAATTATATATTTATCTCCAACAGAAAGCATTGGTATCTTTATGCCAACAAAATGGTGTGACTTAATGAGCTCATACCCTTACTAACTCTCCCGGGAGAAAAGAGCAGTTTCTTTTGAGGGGTGAGAAATTATTATTATTATTATAGGCAAAATTACATATTTATCTTCAGCAGAAAGAGTTGGTATATTCGTGGATAAATGTGCTCCTGCTCTTCCTGACTCTACAGGGCATAAATTATATTCAAAGAAACAAACAGTTCCAGCTGTTGGATGAAAAATGCATAAATTTAATGGTATGGTTATGATATATTTAATACTTTATTGAATCTGTCAAATATGGGTTAAAAATCTTTAAAATATATATTCATTAGTGTTTCAGTTATCTAAATAATTCTAGTGTAATTGGATAAGAATATTTCTTTAGCCAACTAAAAATTCCTTATAACAATATCAAAAACTTGACCATATCATTGGCCTCATTTTTTAATAAACCTCTATGTGAGAAAGTACTGTTTCAAGGCCAACGGTTGTGCAGGGAGGTGATAGGGCTGATATCACGCTCAACCGACAGGTTTTCCTCCTTAATTGCTTTTTTAAATTAAGGGTACCCACTTTATAGAGGTTGGGTGGGCCCTGGGAGGGTCTCCCGACTCCAGGGTCGATTCACGGCTAATGAAAAATTACTAGTCATTAGCCGGATTCGAACCCTTATCCCTTATTTTAACCCTTACCCTTATCGGCCATATTTTAAAGTATGTTTAAAACATTTTTACTGAAAAAATATCTGCAATTTACATTCGTGGAACATCATTGGAGTGCACAACTGGATGATGGCAGCATGGAACCTTGAGGATTGACAGAAGTTGCTGACGGAGACCCAGGCCTGGAATGGGTTGTGCTAAGATTTTAATAATAAAAATTGAATATATTTATGTGTAGTACATACTAAAACACTTATGTATACATATAGGTTCCTGTAAGTAAAGGAAGGGAAGGGGTGTATAGCAGACAATGGTCCGTTTTTGTTAAATAGAAAACGATAATTTAAAAAATATTTCATTAAGGTCATAGTAATAGTCATTAAATCATTGCTTCATAGTAAATTGAAAAAAAATTACTTTAAATGCCAGTAGAGTTTGTCTTTGTTAAAATCATTTAAAGAGGAATTTTAATTGGCTTAACTAACCTGTTTAACAAAGTTCTGTTTTTCATACAATCATTGATCATTCACAATTTTTTTATTGCTTTCTAACTCAACTACTTTCTTGTTAAATACACTTTAAGCACATAGTAATTGAGTAGAGTTTTGTAATGGAATAAATTAAATACTCTTCAATTATACATAAAAAATATTTTTATTTGATATTTTGTTAAGTTATATAAAAACTTACCATGATAATTTGTGAAAAAGCTTCAATTTATTTATTTTTTCAAGCGGTATGGAATTTAGTGTAGTAAATAAATCAAAAACATACACTACTTATTAATAAAAAATATTTTTTTTAAATAATGCTTTTGCAAAAATTTATCATCTTGTCATTATTCACTTGTGTTTTTACACAGATCTCTATTATGAAATTTGATTCTTATTGCATTAAGTGACATTTGGTATGTATTGTAATAAATTAATTATGAAAATATTAGTTTTTATTTACAAATATAACAAGTAAAAAGAGTAGGTTAATAATGAACCATTGCGTTTCACACAACTGAATTTATCTTTATTTTATTTAGTGACCAACTAAATGTTCTTCATCCTGAAATTTATGTTTTCAAGAAAATAATTCAAGCAAATGGTGGATTTTTTAGTGTAATTTTTTTTCTGAAGAAGCAACATTTACAACAGCCAAGAAAATAACAGATCACAGGAAGTCACTTAATACAATACGGATCAATGCTCATAATAGATATCGTGTAAAAACATTCCATTCAAATCATAATGCATAAAAAAATGGTTACGCTGCTTTAGGTCTACAATTAATAATGTTGTGAGCCTGTTATTATGAGGTATCTCTATCTCTAGAACACTGGTAATAGAATATATTTTATTAAAATGAATAGTATAAGCAATAACATTTAAACAATAGCTTTTTCTTCCAATATGATTTTATTTATTTTTAAAAATATCAATCATGTTTATTAATGGCAACAATATTGCAACACTCCATTGTAGGATACGAGTTTTGTCTCCTTTAGAAGATCCTGTGATTAAAGAAATTGCAGAGAGGTATAATAAGCAACCTTCTCAAGTCCTCTTGAGGTATATGATCGAATATGGAGTAGCAGTTATTCCAAAAAGTATCAACCCAGCCAGAATCAAACAAAATTTTGATGTTTGTAACATTTTAAATTTGATCTAAAAATTTCTGTTGTACGCAAATAATGTCTATTAATTTAATTTTTTTTTTGTTAAAAGGTATTTGATTTTGAATTGACAAAGGAAGAATTTGAAAAGATTAGTGCCTTAGACCGTGGAGAAGACGGAAGAATGTTTGGAGGGCGTGGAAGTCAGGGCTTTTTCAATTTAATGGAAAGTCATCCTGAGTACCCTTTCCCAAAATAATTCAAAGAATATCTTTTATATTAGTGTTTTATTTTGTTATAAGTTTATGTTATTTTATTATCATGAAAATTAAATTATCTTTCCTAAATTAATATTTTTATTACTTTTTAATCAACTCTTTCTCATTCAACTTTTAAACCCTGATATGTCCACTATTTGATTCCAAATAGATAAATAAGATAGTAGAATTGTATAACAATTACTCAACATGAGATCATTAAATTTAATCGCCGTTTGAAATAAAGTGAGAACGTATTAACTGATTTTTATCAATGTTAAAAGCTTCTGAAGATATTTTGTTGAATAGTTAATTTTTTGTTTTTAATTTATCTTCAGACAGCTTTTGATCTTTAATAATGTAAAAAAGTTAATTTAATTTTGTCTTTCAAAAAAGAATTGTTAATACTCAATTTTTGTTTAATAAAAGTGTCTTTTCAAGACAACAGAGCTGAAAACAAAAAAGAAAACAAAGACTGAACGAATCTCACAGCCAAAAACGGTGGCTCCATCACAACACGAGGAGGTAAGTAACATGGATCTTAAAATTAGTGATTCATACAATGACAGCTCCAGGCAGCTGGTTATTGGTCGTAAAATACCTCTGTCAGATTCAACGAAGTCAAGAGCACAAAAATGACCAGCAGAACCTGTTCAAACCTCCAACGATTTTGAGCGTCTATCAGCAAAATTCGCAAACAGAAGTCTAGTTTTTGGTAGGAGAATGACATGGGATTCTGTTATTAAAAAAAAAAAAAAAGTGCTTCATTATATCACTGGCTAAAACTGTTACACTCATTATTAAAACAATATTCCAAATTAAAAGCAAGACAGAAACAAAAAAATTTACTTATCTATTAAAACCACTCTGCAATTATGGCCTGCAAATATACATAATTGCTAAATCAACACACATACAACAACTTCAAACTTTTCAGTCTAAGATACTGAGACTAATTAACCAAGCACCAAGGTGCATGAATAACCACACTTTACACACTGACTTACACTTTACAATAAATATGAACTTATTACAAATGATTTCATAAGAAGTTACATAGACACTTCAACCAGCTAATAAAAGAAATGGCCACAAACACTATACTGAAAAACTTCAGATGGCTGTAAGGGTCTGGATGAGGGATCTACTTACATAATGTTTTAATAAATAAAAGCCATGGAGGCTATACAACTGGGTATTGTTTTCCCTCATGCCTATCACGCCTTTTTTACATTTTTCTCATGATTATGCCAGCCCATCTGCTTATTGTTAATAATTGTAATTGACAGGTGCGGATTAATAAAAGAAAGCTAAAAAAATAAACGATTTTCAATGTATAATTGCTTTAATAAATTAAAGTACAGTATAAGTACATACTAAATAAAATTTTACTCTTGCTGTATTCTCATTCTCCTGACCACAATCCTAACCTCTAACTCAAAAACCTTTCCTCTCTCCCTACCTGTTTTTATCTGGAAGCCAAAGGGTTAGAAATTGACTTATGAAAAAATAAAAAAGGTTGATTGTATCTTAAAACCCTAGTCTAGAAAAAACTATAACTGGATTATTTACTATATTAATTAGCATGTTTGAATTGAAAGAGCCTGAGCTAGAATGCGATCTTCTGACAATCTTAAGAACTAGCTGAAATAGCTATTGTTCTGAAAGGAGAATTGAACGAACTGCAGACTTCAGCAGTTGTAATGAAGAATGCATTGTATTATTTCTCTATTAATGAGTATGTAAATTTATAGCATAAATTATAATGCTATTAAGAATGTAAACAGCATTTGAATATACATTTTTTAAAGAGTTACATACCCAGATCTCTGTTTATCTTATATACATAGAATGAAATACAAATACTAGTAGGATGCCTTTCTACAAGATCACTTTGAACACACGTGACTCTGATTGAGACAAGGAAATTTTGACATTTTCCAGAGATGTGTTTTAATGAAAATTTCTCCTTGATTTATTTCCTTTTTTAATTTCAAGTATATCTTAAATTATTATTTATTGGTAACCTGTACCATTCCTAGAGATTGGTTGACTTCTGCATGTATCCACAATGTCCAAGAAGTCAGATTGTTCAGATTTCTGTTTAATTGTTTTTGGAGAACAAAAAAAAATGTTTCTAATTATGGAATCAAATTTGTGATTTTAATAGTCCTATCCCGGATAATTGACTCATCATTTTAAGATGTAACAACCAGTTATCTTTATAAAACTGTAAATTAGCTAACAATGTTTAACTGCATAATTTATACATTCATATTTACTACTCTAGATTATATAGTATAAGTTCATAATAACAAATAGATCTATTGTTATACATTCAATTGCTTTGAATAAAATATTCGTATGATTAATTATTTGATTTAAGTATACAGGGTGTCCCATAAGTAGAGGGAAATATTTAAAAGGCTGAGAGTAGACATCCAGATCTACAAAAATGTTCATATAAACAATTGGCCAATTTCCAGCAGAAAAGTAGGAAATTTAAGATTTGTGTTTCTTTAAGCAAGTTACGTTTTTTGTTGATTAGGAAGTGATAACTTAAAAAATATTAGATTTGAGTAGTACATATTGCTCCTTAGTAAAATAGAAAAAATTTACTTTAAACAGAATTAGAGTTTGTTATTGTTAAAACCATTTAAATATGACTATTGAACGGATAAACACAAAATCAAAGTTCCGTTTGAAAAAAAATCATAAATTATTTGTGTGTTTTTTTTTATGACTCTTCAACTGTACTACAGTTACACCACTTTTAGAAAAACTTCCTGGTTCAATAAGATTTAAGTGCATATTAATTAAGTTAAGCTTTATGTAAAGAAATTAAGTTATTTTCTATGCAGTCAACTATAAGTATCATCTTTTCAGCAGAAATAACAACAATTAACTGTTGCACAGGCGGATCTATGGTGGGTGGGCTTTCGGACTGAAGCCCCCCTCCCCTCCCCCAAAATGGTAAAATATAACCATGTTTTACACAAAAAGATATTAAATTTTCTTTTCTTTCTTTTTTTTCTAATTAATTATCCTTATATGTATATGAAAAAAAATCATTCGCTCTGAAACCCCTCCCCCCCAAAATTAAATCCTGAATCTGCTAGTGAACTGTTGCAAAGCTCTTACTTATTGGTTTCCCCTGTTATAGGATGTGTTGCACTAAATGTAATTGTCTAAAAACATATCTCATTTTATAAAATAAAAAAAATTAATAATAATGATTTTTTAAAAAATATTTTCCTTATAGGTTGGTTTTGAAATTGTGTTTCTCCCTGATTTTCATCATAGGAATTGATGATGTATTTAGCAGTGACAAACTTTATGTTTCTTACTAAAATTTAGATTTAAAATAAAGAAACCTGCAGAATGCTTGAATTATTTTCATGAAAACATAAATACTAGGGATAGAAACATGAAGTTTGTCACTTATAAATACGCATCAATTCCAATAATAGAAATATGTGAGAAAAACAAAATTTCGTGATCACCGTGCACGAAAAATATTTTAAAAACTTATTATTTTTAATTTTTTTATTTTAATTTTAAAAAATATTGTTTTTAGGCAATTATTTTTATTACAGTACATCCTATATCATGCAAAAACGATAAATCAAAGCTTTTATTTATCGTTTTTCCGTGATTTCTTTGTTTTAAACCAAAATTTTAGTAAGAAACATTAAGTTTGTCGTTGATAAATACATTATCAATTCCTATGACGGAGATGAGGGAGAAAAACACAATTTCAAAACCATCCTATAAGGAAAATATTTTAAAAATCATTATTGTTAAATTTTTTTAAATAAGATGTATTTTAGGCAATTACGTTTATTAAAATACATTTCCTATAACAAGGCAAAACAATAATTAAAAGCTTTGCAACAGTTAATTGTAGTAATTTTGCTGAAAATACGGTTACTTTTAGATGACTTGGTAGAAAATCACATCATTTCTTTATATGACTTAAGGTGAATCTCAAAATTTTTTCCTAATGAACCTCAACTTAAGTAATATGGACTTAAAGCAATCTCTAATCTTCTCTGGAAATTAGCTTATTGTTTATATGAACGTTTTTTGTAGCTCTGGAAGTCTATTATCATTCCTATAAAAACTTCCATCTACTTAAATATCACCATGTATATTTCGCACATTGCCTCTAATCACTAGCGGATCCAGGATTTAATTTTGGGGGGGCTTCAGCCCGAAATATTTTTTTTTTCATAAAAATAACGATAATTACTTTGGAAAAACAGAAAGAAACTAACTACCTATATGAAATGGTGTTTAAGTGATTCCTTAAGTTCTTTTAAATGTAATTGCACGAACAATAATACATTAGGAGGTATTTAAAAAAAAAATCCATAAAACATGGTTCTATTTTACCATTTTGGGGGGGAGCTTCAGCCCGAAAGCCCTCCCCCATAGATCCGCCGGTGCCTCTAATGAAGGACTTTGAAAAAAAAAAACGTCTGCCAAGTAAGGTCAATATAGCTTCCTCACCGTTTTCATTGGCTAAAAAATATCTATATTATACGGTATAATATTTTTCGTATGAGAATAAAAACTCTGGAAGAAGCCGTTTTCGGAAATTCATTAATATCTCGACATGTACGGATTTGATATCCACGAGTTTTGTTCATCAGTGAATCCTAAAAGAGTTCCTTATTTGCAGATTCTATATTTGATGATTTCTAATTAAAAAAAAAAAAAAAAACGCAGTGCATACTGAACATGCATATCGCTACTGTTAGTGCAAAAGGTTTAATGTACAAATTGTATATTTCATCACCCTATGCAGTATTTGAACCCAGAGCGGGATTTCATGGTGCAACTTGCGCAATAAAAATTTATGAGGGGGCACTATTTGACGGGGTCTTCAATTTTTGAGGGGGCAAATTACAACGGCGTTATTTATTTTCAAATTGAAAAGTTTCAAATCAAAAGGCAAGTGGAAGCAAAGAACAGACCGCAGGATGTATAATTGTAGATAATCTACGAATATTTAAATTTTACCTTCGTTTGCACTATATTTAAGAAGAACAGAGGAACTAAATATCTTGGGAGGGGTGGGGGAAGGTTTATGTGCCATCGGCCCTGGGAAGAGGGAATTGGCCCCCCTGTTTATGATTTATTAGTATAATTTCATATTTTATTGCCTTCTGCTATTTTACAAAGGAGACTACTTATATCAGAATTGAGGCGTTTCTAATCTGAAAATCGGCAAACTTTGTCTATTCAATTAGGTACTAAAAACTAGTAAATACCCAAAATGTCAAAATTAATATATTATATAGGCCAAACCGCTCAATTTTTTGAAGTCCACTCTTTTTCTCGATTTTGTGCTGAAATTATTTTACGATTGAAGTGGAAAGAAAATGGGTATTTACAAGTTTTCAGTAACTAATTAAATTGACAAAGTTTACCGAACTCCAGATTGAAAACTCACGAATTCCGAGAATGTTCGAAAATAAAATAGTTGTAGGTTACGATGAGATGAAGCTATTTACGAAGTTTCAGGCGGATGTTAATAATTTGATAAAAAGAGGTCTGTACCATGGACTATATTGGTTTCATGTCATGTGTAAGATCATGACTATATGTGTGGAATATAAATTGTCAACACTTAAAAAACTAAAAATGTTAAAATAGAAAAAAAATATTTGAATTAAAAAACTAAAGAAATCCTGTCCATCCTAAAGGAATGTTCTTCCACATCTACTTAAAGATCTTGGTATGTTGTTAGAATAAATGACATCTACGAATACTTGGTGTTTAGTGTTTAGCCTTTTAGTACATATTACAGCTCCTAGTAAACATATTTCGTCCTATGCATCAGTGCATGTTAGCATTCAAAAGGGGTACCCGACTACTACACCAAGGTTAAATATTCGTAGATGGCAATTTCTCTATCAATCTACCAAGGTATTTAAGAAGGTATAGAATTACATTTCTTCAGAATGGACTCTTTTTTTTATTTTATTTTTATTCAATTTTATATTGCAGTTATGAACTCTCAGATTGATGTTAATACGTAAAAATTTTACTCACCAAATACCCGAGTAAGGTAATATCATTTTCATTAATAATTAGGATATTTTAGTGAACAAAAGTTCATTAATGCAGGGCGGTCCCTCCACGCCCAGTGGTATAATAAAAGGCCTCAGGCCACAGATGCAAAGTACGCATACAGAGTGCATAGCCCTTTTACCTTAAAATGCCTTTGGGCAATAAAAGGAAATTAAAAACAATTGTATATATATTTCTTTGCATTTATCTATTGTATTTTGTAATAAATAAATTCCTGGAAGGCAGGAAAAAACAAAAAACAAAAAAAAAACAATAAGTTCGGTGAAAGTTGATTTAAAATTGATTTTATTAACTTATAACAATACTTATCGTTAACATGATTTATTTAGGTATCTCATATACTCGTTTATCTAAAATCTAAGAAATAGGAATAAATCATACCGTTTGAAATATACTATTCTCCAAAGCATTCCCTATGAGTAATAAATCGCTAAACACCTTTGTCTTATCAAGCTACATTATAAACAAGTGCTGTGTACAAACATTGCAGATATAATGTTGCAATTTTTTTCCCACTTGAAAAAAAAAAGGTGTGCTTGTTCTTATCTAACTAGTGCAGCAAAATAAACTTATTATTATACTCATTGTAGGAGGATATCAGTTTGTTTTGAAACCAGCGATATTGGTGGTCTAATATTTTGCAAGGTATGAGGACATGCTTTGAAACAGCTAATTCAGTAGATTTCAGCAAGGTAAACTGTATGAACACCGTCCGATGTCAATGAGAAATACTGCAAAAGGGCTAGGTCAAAAAAGACTCTTCGTTTATGAATCAACCTGTTTTTTTCTGAATCACTTATCATTCTGAACAATGTTTTACATCACGTAATTATCAATTAAATATGTTTCATAATGTTGCTTCTTTTATAACGATTCATAATGCTTTAATTAATATTTCACAATAAATGCAATTCAGGAGAGAAAAAAAAGGTCAAAGCCGAAAATAGAGTAACTGGATAAATTCAGCTGCGCTAAGTTAATACAATTGAAAAACAAAATTCTCATATAACCATTATATTAATCGTTTTTAAAGAAGGTAAAAACAAGGCAGTTTGGGTTAGAAGGAAAGAGTAAATTGAATAAAAAGTATAATTTTTTAGAAAAATACATGATTTTTTTTATTGCTCATTGTTTGTAATGATGTTCCTTAATTGCAGTGTTTTTATTAATTTTACTAATAAGAGACTTTGTACCAGAACAAAGTTATGTTTTATCTATCTGTCCGTCTAATAGAGAAAATGTATTTTGTTATTTATTCTTTTCATAAAATTGTACATACATAATGTTTTCCATTGCTTTTAAGTATTTTGTACATAGTTTTGTTTGTTTTTTACATGTCTAGCTCCTTCTTCTTCATGTTTTATCCGGTTTTTTAAATTGTGTTTATCGTTTCAAACCTTTAGGTCAGAAGTAATTTTTTCTTTTGGTACCATTTTCTTTTTCTCAAGGGACTTGGTCCCAAAATAAAGTTACTTTTTATCTATCTGTCTGTCTAATGGAGAAACTGTAACCGGCTTTTCATTTACTGGCACGACCTTCTTGTATGAAGGTCTTTGTTTTTTTGTTTTTTTTAAATTTTAAACAAATATCCCGCACATTTTTTTATATATTTATATTTTATTTGCTCTAAATATTTATATCACTATTATACTTTATGTATGTTCATAAATTTTGAGAATTATTTTATTTCAGCTTCGAAATCTATCTTTTTGGTGATAAGAGACTCGGTGGGAGGCTAAAAACTAGATGGATAGATTGAATAAAAAAATATGCTCCAGAGCTGCATTGAAAGCAATACCCCTAAATACACAGAGGTGGCTGGAAAAGGCTGGTTCAGGTGCCAAAAGATTTACAAGATATTTAAAGGCCATCGTAAAAAAAAAAATTGAGCCAATTTATTATTATAATCAGGAAACCAGTTTTATTTAAGTTAGGATTTGAGACAAATAGAGAGAAAATAAAATAAATTCACCATAATCACGTTTGAAAACAACAATAATTAAGTCACAAACAACAAAACATTAGATTCGGCTAGTCAGTTTTGGACATCCGGTCCATGTTTCTGAGTCATAAAGGAGTATCGGTCGGATGATTGTTTTATACAATAGAATTCTTGTTCCTCCGGTTAAAGGACGCTCCTACAATATGGACTAAGGACTGATATGAACATTATCATGAGTTATGAGAGATCCGAGATAAATTCTGACACTTTTTCAAAGAAATTTTTTCGATGGTAATCCTTTCGCCCTGTCTGGGATTCAGGTCGAAATAAATAAATAAATTAGAGATAAATAAACGAAATAAATTAGGCCCTTAATGACCATGAAAATTTTCGCTTTAAAGCCCTAACTAACAAACAAGAACCAAATGTTTTATGTAATATACAAATGAAGAATTTTCATTGTTTGGCTATTGGTGATTGTTTGCTGTGAAATGACCAATTTTCGTCACGAGGATGAATAGGTGCTAGTAATAATAAATAGTTAAAGGAGCCCGAAGTTATCACCAACTTCTGGCTACTATGAAATAAATTTATGAACATTTTCATATATTAGGTTTTTTTTATTTTACGTACCAATATATTTGAAAATATAATAACAAAGCAATTGAATATATTACAAGTGTATATCTTTGTATAAAGGTTTGAGGCAGTGATATGAGCATTCAATCCTCAGATGCTTCAAATTTGACCCACGAAATGTGATAAAATCTTCACGTAAAAATGGTAGACTGCACATGAATGAACCGTAAAATCCTAGGATATGTTGCTACATTTAATTATCTTTGAATGTAAACATATAATTTAATAATTGGAACATAGAGCGTTGCAAAATACTTGCGTACCTACCTACTTCAAGGCCATCTAATCGACTTTTAATATTTCCTTAATTGCTTTTATCATACATATAGAGTATTTGTTATTGATTTTTATTTTATTTTTATTCTTCGAAATATTGGGAGAGGGGGACGAAACGACATTTCGATATACTCCTCTCTATTTTTATTGGGAAAAGCCATCATTACCTCCCCCCTCTCGAAGTTTGCGCCTATTTTTGTGGGGACATAAATAATAATAAATAAGATACCATCTTCTAGCTTCTATTTCATGACAAAGGTGTTAAAAAGAGGAATATTTTTCTAAAGTATGTTCCTAGATGATTATTAATATATTTGTTTTTGGCTTGTAGGAATGGACAACGTACTGCCACTATTGCGATCCCCAGGCCAAGGAATTGATGTAACTATTTTATTATTTTACAATTTATTTATTCCATAACATACACGCTCACACGTCATAAGCCAAAATGTCAAAATATCCTAAATTAAAGGAGATTGTCTTTTTTACACGATTTAATAATTTTTAGAATGGTAGTTATGTACCAACAAATTAGAATATGATATATTTTTTTAATATTAACAAAAAAAAAATTTGGCATAACCATGTAAATACGTTTATACTATATTGATAAAACATTTTAGTTAAATATTTTTTATTTATCAAATATATTTGGTTTTGTTCATGAAAAAAATTTAGATTTCTAAGATTTAAGAAACATTTTTAAAATTTTAATTTTAATAATAACAATTATCTACTTTGAACTAATGCAGTATATGGAACTTTCAAGCTGTTAAATATTATCCACTTGTAAATTATTTATGTCACATTTCAGATTACTTTTTGTAATATTTGTTCTTCTAATTGTTGAAATTTTAATATATTCTTTGTAAAGTAATGTATCACAAATTTATTGTTTCAAAGCTGAAAAAAATTTTAATTGATCGACACAACTTTTTTTTTAGGAAACGAAGGATACGAAATGAAGTCCTGTCAGATATCTAAAGCGAAACATGAATGAATAGCATAATTTCCGAGCGGTGAAAGTTAAAATGGAATTATCTGACTACAATTATCTGGAAGCAATAAATTAAAGTAAATTTAATTTAGAATTCAAAATGAAAAAAAAATTAAGTGTATATGTATTAATCTTGTCATGTAATCCATATTGTACATTCGAACAATTTTAATAATATATAAGTTCATATTGATGCATTACTTAGATTTATTTCATCATTCAATATATCAATCCCATATTAAAATTTTAAAAAATTAAAAAAGTTCTAATAGGTTTCACAAGTTAATTTTTTTTTTTTTAAACATCATTATTTAATCAAAATTAGGGAAGGTTGTCTTTTTCATATGGTCAAAGAACATTGAGAAAATCTTCACGAAGATTTCTTCAACCATTTTACAAAAGAACAGTGTCGCCGACCATATTAAAAGATTCCATCAAACATTTACGAAATTACTCTTTCATCGCAGTTGAAGGAAATCGTTATGCTTGACTTTTTTTATTTTATTTCTTATGACATTTACAACTGTATTACATAAATACATCCAGTAAATTTGGACATAATAGATATAATGACATGAATACACTTGCTGAGTAACTACCCAATGGTAGCACTCTAATGATATGACTACGTTAGGAGATCACGGGGCCATCTTCTTTTCAGACGCCTCGGAGGGTTATCAGGAATTGAAGAGGAAGCAAGGTTAAAAACGAGAGGGTTGGGGTGATTCTGAAGTTTATTGTGGAAGGATAGGTATCTGGATTTGGCCAGATCTGAAACATAAGGAACATTAAGATCTTTATGAATAATTTTATTAGTGACAAAGTAAGGAACATTGAGGATTTTACGAAGGATTTTGGATTGTAAGGATTGGATGCGAGAGAAATTCGATGGTTTAGTGGAGCCCCATAGCTCAACTCCGTAAGTCCAAATAGATCTTATTACAATCAAGTATATGAGTCTTTTGTAATTAATGGGAAGTTTGGAGCGTTTGTCTAGTAAGTGCTGAAGTAATCGGAAACGTCGAGCGGTTTCTTGTCGTTTCAGTCTAGTATGAGGATTCCAGGTTAGTCGTTTGTCCAGGTGGAGTCCTAGGTATCGGATTTGCTCAACAGGGATAAGTGGAGTATTGTTAAAGGAAACTGTAGGACAGGAAGTCGTTGGTTTACGACGCTTGACTTTTAAATTTATAATTGTTATGCTAACTATAAGTTATCCGGAATGAAAGATTTTTAAATAGTTTTATGGAGAATTTTATTACCTTTCAAAAGTTTTATTATAAATTTTAACATAGAATGTATAATTAGCGAGTTAGGCCTCAAAACATTTTTCTTTTCTTTATAACTTTTTTCCTGATTTTTTTCGGAAATTTAATCCATGTACGAAAATAGATAGGACAATTATTAGAATATTAAAGGAAAGTTTCATCAAAATCGTTAGTGCCGTTTTTGCGCTACAGTCTATAAAAAAACATGTTTTTCATTTACTGTGCAGCAACTATTGCGCATGGAGCACTCAATTTGTGTTACAGCCATACGTATTCAAATCCCTACAAAATAAAAAAAGAAGAAACGAAATCGATCCGCTAGTTCCCGAGAAAATCTTGGCACAGACAGACAGACAGACCAATGGCTAAAAAGTGTTTTTCAGACTCAGAGGGCTCTGAAACGTATAAATCCGTCGAAAACTGCATATCAGGAATTTGACCCTATCGCAATAATTTTCTAACCTAGTATAGGTAGGAAAGTAAAAAAAATAACCCATTCCAGGGGGTTTGATGAAAAATGTAACTGAACAGAAATCTCATCAACATGAAGTGTCAAAAAATAAAGTGGATATGGGTTGATGAATAAACCTGATTGTCGCTGCACCAACAAACAGGTCGAAACCAACGCCATGAAGAATTAGATTTGGTGATGAATCAGATCAATAGCAGCTCAAATAGATCAAACACACGATGATTGATCACGTGTCTGAGATGACGCCTTCTGATCAGAATCCCGAAGATGTGAGCTAAATAGAAAAATCATTTTATAAGAAAAATGTCAAGTTAAAATGATTATTTGTTTTAATTTATGAATCTGCTATTGATTGTTATAAATCTCTGTGCATCGGCGGTAAACGACACCATGTCCATTTTTTCATTAAATAATTTAGTAACAAAGAAACAAATTTTAACAGCTTAAAGTTATGGAAAATTGGCTACCTCAACAAATACAAAAATGTTGCATGGTGTCCTTTACCTCCGCAACACATATTTAGTAACAAAGAAACAAATTTTAATAGCTCAAAGTTATGAAATATAGGCTCCACTGAACAAAAAACAAATGGACATGATGTTCACCTCTGGTGTACAGAAATATTCCTCCATAATAACAATTGGTAGGGATGCCCACCCCCTCCTCTCCCCGCGGCAGATAGCGCCTGCCCTCTCTCTCCATTAATTTTATTACTTTCATCTTCTTGAAAATAGTGCAAGAGCAAGTAGAATTGGTTACATTTGTAAATCAAATACAATAATACATGCTGTGTCAGTTCCATGCTTTTTATCTTGTTAACTGTTTTGAAAGTTCCTTTAAATTGAACCTATAAAAATATGATTTATTCAAAGATCATTCATAAAGATGAAAATATCTCCATCAAAATTTTTTATGGCGTAACTCACGGCGTACTACCACTTTGGACACTCCTGATGGTTGGAGAATTTTCAGAGGAGCATGGCGTAGCAAAAAACAAGTTTATAAGGTATTAATGGAACAACATATGTATTTTCATGCGAACAATAAAAACGAATGTGGTGCGCACAACACAAAAATTTCACGTACCTCTCTACTTTGAAAAAAAATTATTTTCTGGCTATGTTGAGCAATTATAAAATTTTTGAAGTGCACTTTTAACGGAGCTATAGCTTTTAAGCTAACAAATCATTAAGACTACTAAAATAACAAAAACCATATAATTCATAGCAATGGTAGACAAAAAAGTCCATTTATACTAATTGTATCCGTTTATTAAAATGAAATTACGCGATCTCCATTGCCTGCCATAGATAGGTCAAAAGTTCTCACAATAATTTTTTGTGGATGATGTTTGGATTTCACGAATAGAAAAATATATATATATCCGATTATAATAACTATCTTAAATTATATATATATATATATATATATATATATATATATATATATATATATATATATATATATATATATATTGGTAGTTATATATTTATAATTATAATGATAAAAATATATGTGATAGCCCGAAAGTTTCTGTTGATTTTTAGAATATAGTTCTTCTTTAAAAACTTTTTCTAAAAACGACTTGCATCCTTCAGATCTCAATTCTTTGATACCTACCTTACTTCTCTCTCTGTTCACTACAATTCCCTCTGTAAAACCAACAAAAAAAAACAACCTAAAATCCCATTACATTTCCCATCCCCTTCGTCGATGCGATGACTCCTGGGCAGCGTCTGATGAAGATAAAGCTGAGGAATTCGCCAGACACCTCTCCAGTACATTCGCTCCCCATCCAACCCATACCGTAAAAGTAGCAGAATTCCTCTCTTCACCGATTCCACTCTCCTTACCACCTGAAGCAGTTAATCCATCTGAGGTCAAATATCACTTACAAAAACTTCCTCTCCGTAAATCTCCTCGATACGACCTGCTAACCCCACAAATTCTTCGACAACTTCCACCCAACTCTACCATATTCCTTACATATATTTATAATTGCATCTTAAGAACCCCCCACTTTCCTCTCCTATGGAAACATTCCACCATCGTCTTTTTCCTGAAACCAGACAAACCTGCGAACAATACATCATCCTATACACCAATTAGCCTACTATCCTATCAAAAATTTTTGAAAAGAATCCTACCCATAATAGAATCCCATAAAATTCCTACCTATCAATTCGGATTTCGTTCCCAACATTCCACTGTCCAACCAGGACTCCGAGTTGTTGACCATATATCCTCAGCCCTTGAAAAGAAGCAATACTGTTCGGGTGCTTTTCTGGACACAGGCTTTTGACCGGGTATGTCACGCCGGACTGCTCTTCAAGCTAAAATTCCATCTACAACAATCGTTATATCTAATACTCCGCTCCTACCTCTCTGACCGTTATTTTCAAGTTCGCTGTGGTACTGAATTCTCCAGTTGTCATTTAATTGAGGCGGGAGTTCCGCAGGGCAGCGTCTTGGGTCCCATCCTTAACATTTTCACCGCAGATATTCCTGCCCATCCTGATACCCTCCTTGCAACATCCGCTGATGATACCACTATACTTTCAACCAACTCAGATCCTAAAACGCCGTCATTAAACATACAAATGCACTTCTCCCTGATTGAACACTTGTGTAAGAAATGATGCATTAAGATAAACGAATCCAAATGTAAACACACAACCTTCACATTTTTCGTAAATCCTGTCCACCAGTTTATTTTAACACTATCTGGCTTCCTTTCTCAGATACAGTCCGGTACCTGGGCTTTCTCTTAGACCGGCGACTAACCTGGAACCCTCATACTAGACATAAAAGACAGGAACTAAACCGACGATATTGCCAACTATACCGACTACTAAACAGAAAATCTAAACTTTCCATTGAAAACAAACTACTGATCTACAATACAATACTGTAGGGAACAGCAAAATTTTCTAACATCAAGCGCATCCAATCCTTCCAATCAAAAATCCTTCGATCAATAGTCGATGCTCCTTTCTATGTAACCAACAAAACCCTACATCATGACCCGTTTGTCTTAGACCTTATCCCAGAAAATTCTCCAAATTTCACCAGAAATTTACGTGCCATCCAAATCCTCTTTCACAATCCCTATCAAGCTCCACTCATCCCTATAATCCCCTAAGAAGGTTGAAACGGCAGTGGTATCGCGACCTTTTGTAGATTGTATATATTGGAGTTCTGACAAAGGCCAGATTCTCCACTCAAGACATGAGTGTGTATGTAGCTAAAGTGCTCTCGATCAATCTCTGCTGGCTTTAGTACCAGTGATGAGGTTGAGAGAGTAGCGAAGGGTTCTCCTTGATTTCCCTTGCCTGATTGTATATAAGTATGCATGTTTTTTTTACTTAGTTTTAATTTTCTTACTTTAAGGTTATTTTATTTTATTATTTATTGTATATACTTTTAATTATTAATTTGATTCTATTTATTTTATATTTTTGTTGCATATAGTGTGAACGTTATCCTACCTCATTATAACCAATGTCCAAGAGACAGATTGTTGTAATACTCAATAAATAATTAAATAAAAAAAAAGTATTAAAAAACAAAACAAAAATAAACGACTTGATGAAAATAACAAGTTAGTTTGGAATTCGGCGTTCTCTAGTCATTTCGACAAACATGTCAACTACGAAAATTCATCAAAGATCGTGACCTATTGAGCTACTATTGGTATCATTCGACTCCAAATCTAATTCCACATTACGTCTGGGTTCGATTCGTTTGTTGATAAAATGAGCCGTTTCTTGATCAATTATTAACAAGTTTCGAAAAATGTGGTTGTGTACATTTATATACAATTTATAGAATCATAAATAATGTACAAATAATGAGCAAAGGTGTGATCTTGACATCAGAGTCGTTCAAAGAGGCAGTTATCTCCCAATCCTCTCCATCGCTGTAGATAACAACTTAATCTAACTGAATATATAGTAGTATTTATTCACCTTGCCTTTTAATTCGACAGAACCTACAGAGCCGGCTGTTACGTTTGTTTCCCTCAAATCTCAACCAGTTCTTTGCCCAAGATGACTAAACTCGACTCGAAGAGTGCGCTAACAGCAGGAAAGATGAAGATGCCTATTGTGGGTCTAGGCACCTGGCAGGTAATTCTGTCTTATTATATTTATAATATTAAATTAAATAAAAAAATATGTTATACCGGTTTTATATTGTTAATACTAATGCCTGCTAAATAGTTTTTGAATATTTCTCAATTTGTGAAAATTTTATAAAATTCATTAGCGTTTATAGTATTAATTGAGCCTTTCAGTTGACAGAATGAATAACTTCAATTTCAAAATTTTCGACTAAAGTCATTTCAGTATTATTTTTAGTTGGAAAGTTTATAATATTTGTACAGACAGTGATTAAGTTGATTCCAGAATAGATGATTGCAGTGTTGAAATATAAGGAATGGAACTGAATAAAGGAATACATTTTTCCATTAGAAATTTTCTAAAAATTAACTGTGTTACAGTACGATTACATGAACAAGCTTGATAGTAAATCAATTTCAATTTCTAGGTCACTGTAGTCAGCCCAATTAATTTTAGAAGCAAAAATGTTAAAGCTCAATTGAGCCTTTCAGTTGACTGAATAACTAACTCCAGTTTCAACATTTTTGATAATTAATTTTTAGGAAATTTCTAGTGGAAAAATTTATTCCTTTATTCAGTTTTATACCTTATATTTCAACATTGCAATCATCTACTCTGGAATTAACTTAATCACTGTCTGTACAAATATTATAAACTTTCCAACTAAAAATATAACTAAAATGACTTTTTTTTTTTTTTTTATCTGTTTATTGAGAAATAATACATTTTGCCACACTTAAGGGCACTGAGTAGTAAGGCTGAGTGAGGCACATTCATACCATATATACAATACAGTAAAAAATAAGTAAATAAATAAATTAAAAAAAATATATATACATCTATATAACAAAGGCAAAAACTATAATAAACCAAGAAAATGTAACTTAGAATTACAATTAAATAAAATACAGAAATTAGTAGCAAAATTAAATAAATTATAAGTAAAAGAAATATATACAAAAACATTCATACTTAATTATAATATTTACAATTAGGAAAGATATCTCCGAATCCAGCCATTTCCCCCAAGTGTAAAGGACAAAGCGAGACTCTAAGAGATCCCAACGCTTCTCTCTCAACCGCGTCGCCGGCATTACCAATCCGGTGGAGACTGAGAGAGGATACTAAAACCACAAACACTCATGATTAAGTGGAGAAGCTGGCCATTGCCATAACTCCAGTGACTTCTTTACAAGAGATCTCGAGGCCACTGCCGTTTCAACCTTCGAGGAGGATTGTAGAGATGACTGGAGCTAGATAAGGATTGTGCTAAAGGGTTAGGGTGGTGGATTAGGTTCATGTGAAAATTTGAAAATCGGGATGGAATAACGTCAAGGACATAAGGGATGTAAAGGTCATGATGTAGGGTTTTGTTTTTAACGTAATAAGGAGCATTGACTATCATACGGAGGACTTTAGACTGAAAGGATTGGATGCGTTTGATGTTCGAAAATTTAGTTGTCCCCCACAGTTCAAGTCCGTAGGTCCAGATGGGTTTGAGTATGGTCTTGTATAGTTGTAATAGTTTGTTTTATTGAGAGATTATATTTTCTGTTAAGTAGTCTGTATAGATGACCATATCGTCGGTTAAGTTCTTGTCTTTTAAGTCTGGTATGTGGGTTCCAACATTTTTGCTTCTAAAATTAATTGGGCTGTCTATAGTGACCTAGAAATTGAAATTGATTTACCATCAAGCTTGTTCATGTAATCGTACTGTAATCACATGTAATTAGACTATAAATAATTTAAAGAAAACATTAGGATAATAAGACCACCTTCGAGTTGCTGAAGGGATTTTGCTTCTTAAGATAATTTCAAGATCATCCAAAGCACTATTTCGAGTACCCAGCTAAATACCGAAAATAGCCGATTATTGACAATTCTGTTCACATCCGACATAGCTTCAACTTAATTGATTTTATTTCCGAAGTTAGATTATATTCCCAATCTTCTAATTCGTAAATATTTAAAATAATAATATACATAGTAAGGAAAATATATTCTGCTAAGAAATTAGTTGATATAGCTGTTTGCCTTATTATTATTAAAATTTAGTGATTTTTTTTTTCTTAAATTGAAGGATAATTTGTAATCTGCAGTTGGTAATCGTTATGCTCCGTCCGTCTTTTGGACACATTCGGGTATTGTCGGAAATACACCAGTAACTTTTTTAATTGGATATTTAGAATTTTTATATTTATTAAATATATATTTCAGTCCACACCGGAAGAAATTGAAATCGCTGTGAACGCAGCTATCGATGCAGGTTACAGGCACATCGACACAGCGCATGTCTATGCCAACGAATCTGCCATTGGAGCGGCGCTGAAGAAAATTTTTGACAGTGGAAAAATCACTAGAGAAGAACTATTCATCGTCACAAAGGTATTGTGACTTCTTATCGCGTTTATTTACATTATTTGTAGTTGTTTACTGGATAAACTATACAAATTTTATCTTACTTACAGTTACCATTCAGTGGCAACAGAGCCGAAGATGTTGAACCTTTTATTAAAAAGTCACTGGAAGAGTTACAGCTTGATTATGTAGATTTATATTTGATTCACTTTCCGGCTGGGCTTGTCAATAAGGGTTTCGATAACTTGTTTCCTACGGATGAAAAAGGGCAGCTCTTAATGGACAAAAGTACAAATATTTTAGAATTGTGGAAGGTGAGTTTAAGATTTTTTTTATTCCATGCGTTTGTTGGCTTTTAATAACTAATATTTTCACACAACTCGATTATAACAATCCACTTATTGCATTCCAAACCTTCCTACCTTGCGCGCCATATAACTTCTTTAAAACAGAAGGCATTGAAATAAATCACAGAAAAAAAATCTCTACGTCGCACACTATGGCGAGCTAACGCTAACGGTTTGACATTGGGAGATAAAACAAAAGTTAAAATTTGGAAGTTTCACTGCATTAGTGACAAACTAATATATTTCCCCGTCTTGTCCAGCAATTTTTATCATAATTGGTGTATTAATGATGCTTTGATTTGAGATAATAGGAGAAGGGATGAAAACCATCTTTTTTGTATCTAGAGCTGATTTGCCGGTATTTTTTGTTCAAACCTAATGGTATGCGCTGGGCAGAATTAGGTACTTCTTGAGTGTGAATCCTAAGACAGGTGAAATATCGGTTTTTATAAATAAACGTAGTTGGGACGATGTTTTAAACAATTGCAAGCAATTTTGGTCCATTTCGCAAATCGCTCGAAAACTAGATAGATTCTAAGGTTTGAACTCCTAAAAACTGTTTTCAGACCATGCCACAATCTACCACCACGGAAGTTATTGAATATTTAATTTTATTTTACTTGCGTATTGAGTCACCATCGACTCAGCTTTTGACTAAATAACACATAATTGTCCATACTGACCAAATCATAAAAATATCATAAGTTTAACAGCTAAGTTTTAACAAATAGAAATAAATAGAAAAACAATTATTATTACTTTATATACATTAATATTTTAGTATAATATTTCGTTATGAAATAGGTAATAAATTATACAATATCTGAACAATGTAATGTCTGCAATAAAAACTACAAGAAATGAATTTTGAACAATCTTTTTGTATCTACTGCGAATATTTTTAAATGTTTATTTTACGTGAGATACTTATACTTGCAGTACTGTTATTGCATGAAATAATTATTTTCCCTAAACATTTATTAATTATCATAAAATACCTCATATAAATAGAACTTGATAATTTAGAGCAATAATGTCAAAAAATATTTCGTTTATAGAATATTTGTTTTTTAAAGAATTAAAATGAAAATATAACTGTTTATCAGGCTTTGAAATATTGCGAACATATGCATAAATACAATATTTTACTTTTGATAGCCAAGGCAAAAGATTAAGTTAGTATATCAGTTGACAGATTGTACTTTTTTAGTTCCTATAGATCTATCTAGTCAATGATAACAGATATTTTAAAAAATCTTTTAATCGATTCTGATTTTGTCATATCAAGTTTAGGAACTGATTAAATCTACAATATCATAGAAAGCGAAACGTTTGCGTTCTAAAAGTGAAGGAGAAAGTGAGTTGGAAATTATTTTTATAAAATTCCATATATATATATATATATATATATATATATATATATATATATATATAAATAAATTATTTTATTTGATCGATACTTATTTATACTACAAGATTATTGTGAAATACAACAGTAATATTTCAAATATACTCACGTAACTGTTAAACTGCAAAAATATCATCTGGATAAAATAAAACATAATATTTTATTATTTTGCTTTTAATGCAGTCATTTGGTCGTCAAGCTCCAGTTCAAATCCAATACTCTCAAAACTATATACAGAATAAATTTGAGTAATTTACTGCAATTTCCGAGTAAATAAGAGCCGATATCCAAAATACCTTTCGCTTGCCACGGTGTGCGTCGTAAATTACTCAAATTATTCACTTTTTATAATCTGAGAGAGAGAAGTTTTTGATTGCCATTGTGATCACCTATGATTGTGATCACCTACTTTCTAACAAATTTTCTAAAAGTTCAATTAACATTTTTTTTTTTTAATTCGAAACGTGAGTTGAAATAAGCCCAGAAATATTGTCAGAAATAGTAGAATTTCATCTAATTTAATTTCAATTATAATTCTTTATTTTCTCTGTCTGAAAAATTCGTGCTCTTTGTATCCACAAATAGCACGAATTTTCCTGTTAGTTTTCTTATACTTCATCATGATGCCTTCATTCCATAATTCACCGAATACTCCACATACTCAACTAATGATTTTAGTTTTATTTTAGGAGAAACATTGTCTGCAAATATCTTGTTATGTTGACACAACTTTTTTTTGCAAGTAAAGAATTAGGTGTTTGCAAGAATTTTCAACTTACATTGGTCGGTGAAGATTAGGTTCTAACAATAAAAAAAATCACAAAAAGGCGCCTCATGCATGCTTGTAAAGATGTTTTGCGTTAAAGGAGAGTTAGCAGCTATGTCACGAGATTGGAGACTTATTAGCTTATATCAGCGTTTTAAACTTCAAAAGTTTCATTAAATAAATATTTTTCATTATATTAGCTTGTGCACAGAAATTAAGTAAACTAGGTAGGACGGTTGATAGTTGACTTGCTCCTCTTCGAATTTAGACATCTCCCAAACGCACGCACTGTTATTTCAAGTTTTTTTTTTTTTCGCTAAATATGAATGTTTATATATTATTTAAAAACTTCAACTTCAATCTTATATACATTATTTATTACTTGAATTCTATTGCATTTCGAATTTATGAGGTTTTATTTCACCATTCATGTATTCAATTATAGTTTGATTAAATAAATGCCTTGTGTTGTTTTAATATTTGTTGAACTGAAATAGCCATTTCAGCTACCCTCCTTAATTGATTAACTAATTAAAAATATCTACTTTATGGAAGCTGGATGTACCAAAACTCCACGTGATCGATTCCCGGCTGATGTAACTGAATAAATAGTTACTTATAACAGCCAGACTCAAACCCGGGATCTGGAAAATAGGAAAAGAGTGCTATATTCACTATGATATCTCGCTTTCACATTTCTAAGACATAGCGTCCTTAATACTTATTACTTCTAACCACTTTTTATTCTAATTTAAAACTGACAATGTGTTGAAATTCGTTTCCACCAAAATCTAAAGTAATAATACAAATATAGATTTTTTTTTTTAAATTTTATACCTAAATATTTCGTGAATAAAAGTTGTTTTATTAATGGTATCGATTCATCACTCCAATGTTATATAAATGGCACATTTGATTCCAATTATCATATATCTATTATTATTGTTTTGTTTTTTTGTGGGAACGCCATATCTTATCTAATAATTCTTCAAACACAATTATCAAACTTATCATCCTTTTCAGTACAGATAATTAAGTACTCCCAAGAAACAGGAAAAAGCCGTGACTAGCAGAGTTGCTTAATATACTTCCCCTAATTCCACCATTTTTTTTTATTGGTAATCTCGGTAACATTTGATCTTCCAGATATATGAGATAATTTTAAACCACAATAGCAATTAATTTTTTGGATATTTAATAGTTGACCGTTGCATTCTAAAGGAAGGAGTTGGTCCGGGGTTGCGGTCATAAATAGGCTAAATAGTGGTAAAACTATTTTATTGAAAGCCGACGTTTCGACCCGACTTTGCTGGTCTTCTTCAGGGAGGTGTGTTCAGCTAGGAGTTTCACTTAGAACTGCGTTTCAATTATGATCGCAACCCCGGACAATCTCCTTCCTTTACAATTAATTTTTTTTTTTTTTAATTTTTCTCATTCAGATTCAAGAAAGTGATAGATGCGCCTCGTATCTACGCCAATTCTTGGAATATTTTCAAATATATGTTTATTTATATGGATACATATATATATATATATATATATATATATATATATATATATATATATATATATTCCATTATATATATTTTTTTTTATTTATATAATTATCAATTTTCAGGGCATGGAAGCACAAGTCGATGCAGGACGAACTAAAAGTATTGGTATATCCAATTTTAACCAAAGCCAAACTAAACGAATTCTCGACAACTGCCGCATTCCTCCCGCAAATATTCAAGTAGAATTACATGTTTATCTCCAGCAGAAAGAGTTGGTGTCTTTCTGCAAAAAGAATGGTGTGACTGTATGTGCCTATGCTCCAATTGGCTCACCTGGGCACAAGAATTTGCTAGAAAAACAAGGATTTTCTACTGAAGGGTAAGACATTATCATTACTACATATATATCTGAGAAATAATTCAATTGACATTTTTCATTGTAAACTATAAGTCTGTATTTCTTAAGAGCCAAAGCATTTATCTGATTTGGTAGGTCTTGTTTCATTCTTAGAATATTACGCCTGAAATTTTATTCTTCATGATCTGACCCTGGAAAATGATTACTTGTAAGTAGTCCATGTTCCAGACCGCTTTTTATCAATTTATTAACATCCGCCTGAAACTTCGTAAATAGCTTCATCTCATCATAACCAACAAATATTTTATTTACGAAAATTTTAGGCATTGGGGCATTTTCAATGTGGAGATCGGCAACAACTTTGTCTATTTAATTATGTATTAAAAACTCATTTTCCTTCCACTTGAATCTAGTCACAAAGTTATAAAAAAAAGCTAGCCTACAAAAATATTAGTCTTTTTTGAGGTGACCTCCACCCCAAAAAATTTAAAGTAACGAGGTTATGTAGCCCAAACGTCCCAATATTTTTGTAGGCCACTTATTTTTCGAATTTGTGATCAGATGGGTATTTCTCACTTTTTAGTACTTAATTAAATAGACAATGTTTGGCGATCTTTAGATTGAAAACACCACAATTTTGAGAATTTTCGTAAATAATATATTTGTAGGTTACAATTAGATAAAGCTATTTACGAAGTTTCAGACGGATGATAATAATTTGAAAAAGGGGCCTGTGCCACTGTCTAATGGGTTATCCTTTTGATGATCAAAAGTATCTTAAAATTAAAATTGAATGTGTTAAACCGAATAAATATCAATTAAAATTCAGTAATTATACAATGACCTATCTCTCTCCTTTACGTTGGGCAATAAGCACCCTATGCCTCTTGTAATACAATACATCAATTTCATAAATATTTTCGATAATTAGCTATTTATCAAATCATAGAGTACCGTAAAAGTGAAAAACATTAAGGGCGACGTTTCTCCAAAACTAGAATTATCTCTCACATGCTCAGCAGTTTCCAGAACATTATGACAGAGAGGCATATGGGGCTAATTTTCTTCCCAAGGGCATGAAGCTTGGCGTGAAAATCCACAAGCCCTGTGAGGAGTTGTGACACCTAATAATTAGGGATATTTAGATACCATTTCCCAAGGTATAAAAGTGTTTCCTCAAGATAAAGCCTTTATTAGTAGTTACGCATTGTCGATACCACTGCTCAATGGTGTTTTCCCGTATTGTTTTTTTCCAATGTTATCTTCTGTAGTCGCCAAAGATTTCAATTCCAAGCTGAGGACGTGTATCTCAGGATACCCAGCACTACACCATTGTAGATGGTCATTGTTGATGGTACCTCAGGACGAATTATTCCATTGAGCACTCCCTTGCGACCATTTAAGGTATTGCATTTGGTAAGAAGTCGTTCCTTCAATTTGCAGGATGATAACATTTCTTTTTGCGTAAAATAAATTATATATATTCCAACAAAATATGCTTGTGCGGTGAAGGTTTCTCTACGGTGAGTGATATCTTAGTTTACTTGGGCTACTTTCCTACATACTTACCGTCAGTGGCGGATACAAGACTTAATATTTTTTTGGTGGAGAGAGGGCCAATTTGGCCTTCAAGGACTACTTAAACATCATTTCATATAGTTTCCATCTTTTTCTTCCATAGTAATTACTAGTAACTCTAACTATTGGAATAAGTATGCTTTTAGGAATATTTGTTTTTTATATTTTTCTTAATACGTGCGGTATTAATTTAGTAGCTGTATATCCGTTATAACTTTAGATGATTGTTTAATTATTAAACTCAGATCACTCACAAAAACAAACATTTACCGACCATTGAAAAAAAAAATATTCTTTTTTTGTGGAGGGGATCCACCAGAGGTCATTGAGGTATTACTGGTAAAATTATTACAAATCAATCTTCTTAGTAACTTTATATTTTGCTGTGATTTATAAAAGCCAAATAATAGAACATGAAAGTTTACATTAATTTCTTATAAAAAAAAATAATAAACTTATATTAAGATTCTAAAATTTACATTGGATGACAAACAAACATAACCTTATGGGTTATTATATTGTGATTTATTATATTAAACAAAAAACTGAGCCAACTTTCACATTATAAAAACAGTTTCCAAAATTTAACAATATCCATTTTATGTAAAAACAATAATCTACAATGTAGGGATATGTAACACATAATTCCTTATATTCGTCAACTAATCAATAATTTTTTGTGACAGGTTGAAAGTTATTTCTCCTCTGGAAGATCCTGTAATTAAAGAAATCGCAAAGAAGTACAACAAGCAGCCTTCACAAGTCTTATTGAGGTACCTCATTGAATATGGAGTTGCTGTTATACCAAAAAGTATTAATCCAGAGAGGATCAAACAAAATTTTGATGTGAGTCACTTTGTAGCAATCTTCTGAAATATCAATTCAATTTTTTAAATTATAACTATTAATCTGATTCTTTTCCCTTTGAAAGATTTTCGATTTTGAGCTCACAAAAGAAGAATTTGAAAAAATCAGCGGATTGGACCGAGGAGAAGATGGAAGGATGTTTGGCGGCAGAAAAGTTATTGGCTCCATCAATTCTTTTGAAAGTCATCCTGAATTTCCTTTCCCAAAATAAAATGATTTTTTTTTTAATTTATTTATTTTCCATTTTGTTGAAATCAACTATTTTATTTACAACTATTTATTAATAGTTTTAATCACATACGTGAGCTTCAAAATTATGAAATAAAAGTTTTTACCTCAATAATAATCCATGTTGGATTTACTAGGTCAGATAAAATTTCCTAAATAATTCTGTTATAGTAAGAAAATTCTGCAAGTACTAAAAAACTCATTGAATGCTTATGGGGAAATAAATGAGTGATATAAATAAGATAATATTTTGAAATAAGAAGCGTTATTTAATTTTGGTTTATAAACATTGCCAAACAGATACTAATCATGTCATGTGTATGTGATGGGTATTACAAATAAAATTAAGTTCATGATTGCCATAGTTGATAAAATCATTAATGTTTTTTTTTACGTTAAATTAGAAAATATACGAATGTTTTATCAACACAATTATTTTAAACAAAATGTTAAAATTACAGAGAAAATTTATTTTGAACTATGTGTTCCCTGAATTTAACATAATACAAACAGAGGAAAAAGTACATGCCCAAAAATGAACATTTTGTCTTTTATACTATATGAGTCACTTATTTCCAGATTGAATCCTAATCGATCTTATTGGAAGATAAGTATCAACTCTCGTGTTTTAAACATTCAATGAATTCAATGGTGCAATTATTTTTTTTTCAAAAGTTAAAATCTATATACATATATATATATATATATATATATATATATATATATATATATATATATATATATATATATATATAGATTTAGGTTAACTTTTGAAAAAAAAAATATATATATATAAATGAATGTATGTCTGTCTGTTTGTCCTTTGTGCATTACTAAACCATTCATCCGATCGCCATGAAACTTTGGGAAGTTGTTCTGTACACTCCTGGGAAGGTTTCTGGCATAGTACTTCTGTCTTACAATAATTTTATGTATGTAAAAAAAATAAAAATGTAAATGTTTTCCTGTTCAAAGCCGCAAAAAAATGTGTCGCTATAAACTGTAGCTCCAAAACGGCTTTACCGATTTTAACGAAACTTGGCCAAAGTCTTCTCCTTGAAACCTTTTAATTTATGTGTATAACTTACTTTCCCGAAAACAAGCTGAAAAATGTTACGATGAATTCAATATTTTATTTAACTAAAAAAGTACAGAATATTTGACTGTTAATACCCATATTTATATGAAAGATTTCTGAATTTCTGACAAAATAATAAAAAATCATCGAAATCGGACTGATTCGTTGCAGAGTTATGGAGTTTTAAACATTTACTGCTTTCTCTACAGAAAAGGCCGTTTCCTTTTGCTTCCTCACTACCACAGGTCGGCAAGCATTTTTTTATTTTATTGATTAATCGAAAATTTTATAATTACTACAGTAATTGAAATTATTATTTGAAGAAGTTTTATGATTCTCCTTATGTAGGTCAATACTATGATACGTTCATTATATTAATTTTTTATTTTAGTTTTATAAGTTCAACTCAGACTGCCTGATGATTATGAATGACGGCGTATTTACTCAGATGATTATGAATGTTCAATTTGATTCATGAGAATAAAAATCATTAGAATTAGTTTAAATTGAAGCCATTTTACAGACAAATTTGCTTTCCAACTTTTTAAAAATGACAGATGTCCTTTGCTATTTATCTATTCATATGTGCTTTCTATTTTCTTTCTTTTCCATTTCGCCACAGCAGTGCGTGGCCGGGTAAAGCTAGTATTTTATAAAAATAAAAAGGTGTGAAAATTATTTTTTTTTTAAAGAAATGTAATGAAACTTGTATTTCTTAACTATTGTTAAAAAAATAATTCATCAAAAGCCGTTTTAACAATTTTATTGGAATTTTTTTTTTTTTTTTTTTTTAGCTTTAATGTTTTATTCACACCTGTCATAATGCTAATGACAACCAGTGAAAGTGAGATCGATTGATTAATAGAATTGTCATGAAAGGCATGAGGAGGATCAGTGCCCAGCGGCACCTCACTCGGCGTGATATCTACATTAGGCGAGGAGGTCCCTCATCCAGCTCCTCTTCAGTCTCCTACAGACGTTACCGGGCATATTCGTAGTGGCCATGTCATTTATAAGTGTATTAGTATGTCCTTGTAAGTTGTCATGGAATCGTTTGTAATGAATACGTATGTGTTCGTTAACAGTCGGCATATGGAGGTCAGTATGTAAGGTTATGTTGCTAACGTACCAAGGTGCTTTTGTAATTGTTCTGAATGTTTTTGCTTGAAAGATTTGAAGTTTGTTTAAGTGAGTCTTTTTAGCAGTTCCAAATATCTGTGATGCGTAAGTCCAAATAGGTTTTAGTAAGTAATTGTATGTGTTCAATTTCTGTCTAAGTTTTAGTTTTGAATTTTTTGAAAGAAGTGAACTCAGAATTCTTAATCTTTGATTTAAAGTTTTTCGTTTTTTGATTATATGTGGGCCCCACGTCATTTTTCTGTCAAATGTCAGACCAAGGTAGTGAACGGTGTCTGTCTGTGGAATCTGTGTATCGTCAAGGAAAACTGGAGGGCATGTTTCATGTCGAAGCGTAAATGTGATGTGCTGTGATTTGTCTTGATTTAGTCGGATTTTCCAAATTTTGAACCAGTCATGTAATCTTGTTAAATACTGTTGTAGGGTCTGTGAGGCGTATGTTGGATTTTTGTGTCTTGCTAAAATTGCTGTGTCGTCTGCATATGTCGCTGTTAAAATGTTGGGACTACAAGGTATGTCATGGGTGTATGTGATATAGAGTAGTGGAGCGAGTACTGAACCTTGAGGTACTCCTGCTGAGATAGACCTGATGGAAGATAGTTCTGACCCGTGTCGGACCGAGAAAAATCTATCGGAAAGGAAGGATTGTAGAATTAGATAATATGTAGGTGGGAGTATTGTCTTGAGTTTAAAGAGAAGACCCTGGTGCCAAACTCTGTCAAACGCTTGAGCAACATCCAGAAATACGCCAGTTGCATATACTTTCTGCTCTAGTGCTGTAGATATGTAGTCCGTTACTCTATGTAGTTGGTGTATAGTTGAGTGATGTGCCCTAAATCCAAATTGATGGTCAGGTATTATTTGGGTGTTTGTTAGTATATCAACAAGTCTTTTGTTCAGTAAGCTTTCAAAAATTTTGGAACAGATAGGTAGTAAGCTGATTGGTCGGTATGAGGAAGGTGAGTTTTTGTCCTTTTTAGGCTTGTGAATCATTATTATATGTGAGTATTTCCACTGTAGGGGAAATTTAGTTGTCCTCAGTATTGCATTATAAATAGTTGTCAAAAGCACTAGAGCTTTTCTAGGCATTTGTTGGAGCACTTCAGCGTTAATCAAGTCATGTCCAGGAGCTTTTCTTTTAGGCAACTTTTTGATTTGTTCAGCAATCTGTGAAGGTGTGAATGAAATAGGAGGTGAAGTTAGTTGTAAGGGCATGTCTAAAGTGTTTAGTACGTTGTTATCGTGCACAGTGTTAGTGAAGTCTGTGTGTGGTACAAAAACAGAAGAAAGATATTCGGCAAAGAGTTCTGATTTTTCTCCGTCCGTCACGGCCCAGGAATCATCTTGTCTTCGAAGGGGTGCTGACACTTCACGATGCTTAATAAGGTTTTTGGTATGTCTCCACAAGCTTCCATCGTCGGTTGAGAGATTTCTGATGTAGTTGTCATAGGTTGTTCGTTTGAATTTTCCAATCTGTCGCTTGAGTTCATTATTAAGTCTGTTGTAAGTTCGTTTATCTGATGGGAGTCTGTCAGTCTGCCATATTTTGCGAGCTCTCCTCTTCGCTCTGATCAAGTCCCTTATGTATTGTGGGTACATTGGTAGGAACTCATATTTTTGAGGTTTTGCTACTGATGAAGACCATGCTGCTTCTTGGATATTTCGTGTGAAGTATTCAACGGCATCCTCAAGTTCTTCTTCGTTTTTAATGGATAGAGGAACAGAGAGAGCAGTGTCCAATTGGTTCCTGTACCTGTCCCAATCCATTATGCCATTGATCAGGGACAGTTTTTTTGTAGCTTCACAAGGCTCTTCAAACAATACCAAATGCAAAAGGGAATGATCAGAGCAAAGATCTGAACTCGTTGTTATAGTGTGAGGTGTTGTTCGGAGTCCTTTAGTTATGAAAAAGTCGAGTAAGTCTGGTGTTTTCCGTCTAGAAGTTGGCCAGTACGTGGGTGAATTAGGTGATATTGTGTCTAATGAAAGCTCATAAAGAACATACCTAAGATTCCTTCCTCTTGGAGTAGATAGTCTGGATCCCCAGAACTGATCTTTGGCGTTGTAGTCGCCTCCTGCAACAAAGCATCTACCAAGACGTTTAAAGAAATTACTAAACATCATGGGTGTCAGAACATACCTCGGAGGGCAATAAACCGCAGCAAGAGTAATGTTTTGTTGTTGTGTTGATAGTGTAATGGCTGTAGCTTGAATCTCTGGTGTTATGGGTAATTGTAAAGGATTATGTTTTAGAGTTGTTTTGATAATTATGGCAGTGCCTCCATGTGAAGTTCCATCTGGGTGGTCAGTTCTGTAGATTTTGTAACCACGGATGTAAAATTTAGAATGTGGTGTCAGATGTGTTTCTGTTATTAGTGCAATGTCAATGCGTTTCTCGTGTAAGTATATGTCTAGTTCGGTTCTATGTTGATTCAGTCCGTTTGCGTTCCATAGTATAATAGACATGGAGCCCACAGTCGTCTGATTACGGGGCATATTTTTGGGTAAGAGCGAGAGTAGCCTGAGATAGCTGTTG